GGCCCCAGAGGGTGCACTCGGAATCAGCCCGGGGAAGGAGGGCGAGAGGAGCACCGGGCTGTCCTTCAGAGGAGTGGGGTCTCTGCGTGCATTTGATGGACATGTTTTGGCAGGAAGGCAGCAGGATGCTGGAATGAGGGACCCGAAGGAGGACGTGACTGAGGGGACAGCCACCTTTCAAAGGTCAGAGCAGGCCTGGTCATTCCCTGGGCTCCGAGGGAGGAACCATCAGGTGAAGTCAGCTACCTGCTCTTCTAAATCTAGAGCACATCCACTTGGGATGGTGGTGGAGCCCACAGGCACCTGGGAGGAAGTGGCCCAAGCCCAAGGCTGAGGCCCCACTAGGAAGCCATAAAGTGGGAGCCGGACCATCCACAGGACAGCAGGAGGCACCTTGAGGATAGAAGGCTCCTGTCGCTTGGTCACCCCGCTGTGCATACAGCTTGCCGCCTCCTGAAAGCACTCATTTCCCACCTGGCAAGTGCCAGGAGCGTCCACTGGCACACTTCAGAGACAGGGCATGAGTAGGGAGGGTGACCAGATTCTAACATCTGTAAGGCGGGACAACATGGCCGGGGGGCGGAGCGGGGGCGGAGCACGGCGCCGGGCAGGGCCTGACAACAAGGCAAACTTTGATAAGCAGTTCTCAATAATCACTTCTCAGCAATTATTTATTACAGTTTAACATTATAAAATTAACAAAAATAATATAAAACTCATATTCTGGCGAAGTAGCCATATGGCGGGGGAAAACCGTATATCCCTTCTTGTTCTCTAGCCCGTTCGTGGATTCTTTCCAAAAAACGGGACTTTTTTAAAACGGCGGGACGCTGGACAAATTGTTGAAAAGTGGGACTGTCCCGCCAAAATCGGGACGTCTGGTCACCCTAGGCATCAGGAATCTGGCAGGACTGGGATCCTGACTCTGTTAGCCTGCTTCCTAGGCGATTTGTCTTGGCAGCAGCACCCCTACTGAGCCTCAGTTTCCAAATCTCTCTCTCTCTCTTTTTTTTGAGACAGAGTCTCAAGCTGTCACCCTGGGTAGAGAGCTTGGTGTCACAGCTCACAGCAACCTCAAACTCTTGGGCTTAAGTGATTCTCTTGCCCCAGCCTCCCAAGTAGCTGGGACTACAGGCCCCTGCCATAACACCCAGCTATTTTTTGGTTATAGTTGTCATTGTTTGGCAGGCCCAGGCTGGATTAGAACCTGCTAGTTCCAGTGTATGTTGCTGGCACCCTAGCTGCTGAGCTACAGGTGCTGAGCCAGTTTCCGCATCTCTCTCTCTCTCTTTTTTTTTTGTAGAGACAGAGTCTAACTTTATTGCCCTCGGTAGAGTGCCATGGCTTCACACAGCTCACAGCAACCTCCAACTCTTGGATTCAAGTGATTCTCTTGCCTCAGCCTCCTGAGTAGCTAGGACCACAGGCGCCCACCACAATGCCCAGCTATTTTTTGTTGCAGTTTAGCCAGGCCAGGTTTGAACCTGCCACCCTTGGTATATGGCGCCAGTGCCCTACCCACTGAGCCACAGGTGCTGCCCAATTTCCACATCTCTTGAGTGAGGATGGCTCCTGGGGACAGTGGTAGAATCCTGCCTGTGTAGCCTCTAGCTGCTGGTGTATAGGAGCCACTTGGCTGTGCCTTAGTTTGATATCAGGCTGTTCAGGAGCCTCAGCTCTGCACTTCCTGGGCCACCAACACATGATTCAACTACAACAGCACAGGAACCTGGGTTCTGTGTTATGTCATCAGCCCATCACAGCTGCAGGGAGAGTGGAGGTGAAATGTGCTTCCCACACCAACCCTGAGCATGCATTGTGCACCAGGCTCTGGCCATGGGAAGTGCCAGGGCCTGGCCACCAAGTGGGGGACTGTATGTGCACATATATCCAAGCACGAGGCATGCCCACGAGCATGGGCAGGGAAGTAAGTCAGAGCTATCTGTGGGAGGATGAATGGTTCTGGGCTTTTTCTTTTTTTCTGAGCAGAGTCTCACTTTTTCTCCCTCAGTAGAGTGCTGTGGCATCATAGCTCACAGCAACCTCAAACTCTTGGGCTCAAGTGATTCTCTTGTCTCAGCCTCCTGAGTAGTTGGGACTACAGGCACCTGCCACAATGTCTGACTATTTTTAGAGATGGGGTCTCACTTTGACTCCGGCTGGTCTCAAACCCGTAAGCTCAGGCAGTCCACCTGCCTCAGCCTCCCAGAGTGCTGGGATCACAGGCATGAGCTCACCTGGCCCTTGCTATTTGCTTTAAACTAAAATTAAGAATTGAATTTTTTGGCCATGCCCAGTGGTTCACACCTATCATCCCAGCACTTTGGGAGGCTGAGGCAGGAGGATCTATTGAAACCAGGACTTTAAGACCAGCCTGGACAACATAGAAAGAGCTTCACTTCTACAAAATAAAGAAAAAAAAAACACAAAATAAATAAAAATTAGCCATGTGTGGTGGTGTATGCTGTACTCTTAGCTACTGGAGAGGCTGAGGTAGGGAGGACTCCCTTGAGCCCAGGAGTTCAAGGGTACAGTGTGCTATGACTGTACCACTGCACTCTGGCCTGGACAATGGGGCTTTTTTGTATCATCCAGGTAATGTGAGTTTGGACTGCAAATCTATGCAAGAGCAGATTATGAGAATGATTTCTACCAACACCACATCCTTTGCTCCAGCCCAAGGCCTCAGTCTCCTGGGAGGTTTATATTCAGACTTTCTTGTAGTTTGCCCTTCTACTGAGTATGGCTGTATTAGTCAGAGTTGTCCGTAGGGATAGAGCCAATAGGATAGGTGGAGATAAACAGATATAGACACAGACATATGAGAGGGGACTTATTGGGGGGATTGGCTCATGTGATTATGAAGGCTGAGAGGTCCCTGTGAAAGCTGGGGACCTTGGGATGCTGGTAACATGACTGTGTTCAAATAAATCTGAAGGTCCCAGAAACCAGGGAAGATGATGGCACAACTCTCAGTCCCAGGGGAGGTATGTGGTGGGGAAGGAAATGGTCTAAATCCCAGAGTTCAAAGGTTTGGGAACCTGGAGCTGCTGTCCAGAACAGTGAGGAAGAGCATGCCCCAGCTGCAGCAGATACACTAACACACCTGTCTTTTCTGTTTTAGTTCTCCCTGCCCCCAGCAGATGGATGGTCTGAGGGCAGGGTTTCCCACTAGCCCACTCAGACTCACATGCTAATCCCTCTGGAAACATCCCCCAGACACACCCAGCCATGGTTTACTGGGTTTCCAAGTATTCCTTAGTTCACTCAAATTGACACCTAAAATTAACTGTAAGAGTTACCCTCTGGGGTCTCAGTGTTATGGAGCAATGTTCTCCTGTTCCATGTTCACCTTGGGCCAGTCCTACATTCATTTCCTAAATAAAGGGCTCTGTTTTGGGGATTCAGCAAATGTCCTCAGGCATGATCAATTTTTGACTTTGCGTAACACTTTGGGAACCCCCCCACCCTGGTTTTGGGTTGATGTTTCTTGCTATTTTATCAGCTCTGTAAAGCTTTTTTTTTCTTTTTAGAGACAGAGTCTCACTTTGTCATCCTTGGTAGAGTGCCGTGATGTCACAGCTCACAGCAACCTCCAGCTCTTGGGCTTAGGTGATTCTCTTGCCTCAGCCTCCCGAGTAGCTGGGACTACAGGCGCCTGCCACAACACCTAGCCTTTTTTTTGTTGCAGTTGGGCCAGGGCTGGACTTGAATTCACCACCCTTGGTATATGAGGCCAGCACCCTACTCACTGAGCCGCAGGCACTGACCTCTGTGAAGCTTTTTAGATTTGTATTTTAACTATTTAAACTACCATTTCTAGTTGTTTTCACAAGAAGTGTTGGTCCAAACAATCATTGAACAGAATTTTCATCTGCTCTTATCTTTTAAACCTTCAACTTTTAGGCCCTATTCATTTGTTGTTTTAGTGCCTACTTACTTAGTGCCCAAGACTGGCACTGTGCAGTCTGCTAAGCACTGGGAAACAAAGGGGAATTTGGTGGTTAATTTCACGTGTTAACTTGGTGGGGCCAGTGCCCAGACGTTTAGTCAAATTGCCTTGGATATTCTGTGAAGATGTTTTTGGATGAGGTTAGTATTTAAGTCAGCGAACTCTTGAATAAAGCAGAGGGCCTCCACCACGTGGGTGGGCCTCATCCAGTCATTGGAAAGCCTTGATAGAGAAAACTGGTTTTCCCTGAGAAAGAAGGCGGTCTGCTCACAGATGACCTCTGGGCTCAGTCTGCCAGCCTACCCTGCAGATTTTAGACGTGCGCCTTCATAATTGCTGAGCCACTTCCTTAAAATAATCCTTTCTCCATACACACAGGCAGCCTGCAGGTGAGCAAGTCCACTAACTGAGAGGGTGGACCAGGGAGACAGCGCTGCAGAGCTGCGAGTCTGAAGGAGCCTTGTCCAGAAATGGATCTTGCGTCCTTGACCCGCACACGGAGGAGGGCGGAGCCATCCAGACAGAAGGGGCAGAGGGGACTGAGGACACAGAGGGGACCTAGGGCGCAGAGCACGGGCGGGACGGAGCAGAGCCCGTGCTCGGGGAGGAGATGCCGAGGGCGGCGCAGGGGCGGGAATTCCCGGGTCGGGTCGGTCCCCACCTTCACCAACGCTCACGCTTCGCTCCAGGTGGGACAGAGGCCGACGCTGGCCGCGGTAAGTAGGAGATGAGCAGAAGAAGACGCGCGCAGTAAACTTTCGCGCTGCCCGCCCAACCTCCCTGCTCTCCTGTGCAGCCCGCCCCTACCCGCCGCTCGACCAGTCCTCACGCTCCTTTCTTCGGCCGGGCCCGCCCCTGCCCGCCGTTCGCCCAATTCCCACTTTCATCTCTTCTGCCGGACCCGCCCCTGCCCGCCGGTCACCCAATTCCCACTTTTATCTCTTCTGCCGGACCCGCCCCTGCCCGCCGGTCGCCCAATTCCCACGCTCGTCTCTGCGGCCGTGCCCGCCCCTGTCCTTCCCTCGCCCACTCCCTGATCGGTCCCCAGCCCGCACTGCCGTGGGAACCCGGAATCTTTGTCCAGCCGGAGGCGGTTCTGGGGCCGCGGCGGGGAAAAATGGAGGCGCTGCTGCGGCGTGAGCTGGACTGTAGCTCGGTCAAGGCCACGGGTCATTCTGGGGGCGGGTGTATCAGCCAGGGCCAGAGTTACGACACGGACAAAGGGCGAGTGTTCGTGAAAGTGAACGCCAAGGCTGAGGTCAGGGCGGCCGGGGCTGGGCTCGGGGTCTGGACTGGAGGCGGGGTGTGGGCTGGGCTCAAGATCTGGTCTGGGTTGTGAGCTCAGTCTTCAGGTCTGGACTGGACTATCTGTCAGGACTGGGCATTCGGACGAGATCTGGTCTAGTTCAAGCTCAGGGTCAGGCTCAGACCCGGGGGTCCGCGGGCTGCAGCTGGCACATGGCAACCCCCTCCGGCCGTCGTGTGGGGTCCAGCTTGGCAGGCTTGACCACTCGGACTCCTAGGGTCAAGGAGCCCCCGGGCAAACAGGACGCTCGTCAGCCAGGTGCCCTCCGCGGCCTGGCAGCCCACCTTCTCCTGTCGTTTTTCTGACAGGCGAGACGAATGTTTGAAGGTGAGATGGCGAGTTTAACTGCCATCCTGCAAACAGGCACGGTGAAAGTGCCCAGGCCTATCAAGGTTCTAGATGCACCAGGAGGTGGAAGTTTGCTGGTGATGGAGCATTTGGACATGCGAGGCCTGAGCAGGTATTTCTTGGTACTGTCCCTACTCATCAGCTTTGTTTCTTCAGTCTCTTTTATAACTAAAGCTTGAGGGCATAATTTTGAAGAGGGTGGTATAAAGAACTCATGGCCACACACATCGTGAGCCTGCAGAATCAGTAGCAGGCCCTCTCTGTAGGCTAGTTGCAGGAGAGAAGGGGGCCTCTGCAGGGAATGTGCTGGCGGTGGACATATGTCTGGTGTTTGTGTGCCCTTTGTTTAGTTGCTGACTTTTGGTTTCACAGTTATGCTGCAAAGCTTGGAGCCCAGCTGGCAGATTTACACCTCTACAACAAGAAGCTTGGAGAGAAGCTCCTGAAGGAGGCTGGCACAGTGGGTACGGTGCTGTGGGGGCCGTGGGGACCCTGCTAGAAGGTCTGTTCAGCCAGGAAGGGCTCAGAGGTGGGCTGTGCTGTAGCCCTGTGCAGTCAGACCCATGCTGTGGGCCTGCAGATCTACAGGGCAGAGCACTTTCTGAAAGTGATCAGGGTGACGGGCCATAAATGTGTGTGCAGGATGTAAGACACTTGCTGACTTAACAACCCCATAGCATTATGTTTGCTTTTTGTGTCTCACTCCCCAGAAGGAAATCTCATCAAAGTTTATATTACTTTCTATTGTCAATGGAGAAAACCCCAAATTCTATAAAATATTTGAAAGAGGTTTGTTGGGTTACAGTTTGATTTCATAAATTTTAGGAGATAGGGATTATCTATAAAGTAATAAGTGAATACATGGAAGGTGTATATTTGTCCTGAAAATGTAGATACCTCTGAACAGGGGTTTTTTTTTTTTTTTTTTGAGACAGAGCCTCAAGCTGTCCCCCTGGGTAGAGTGCTATGGCATTACAGCTCATAGCAACCTCCAACTCCTGGGCTCAAGCGAGTCTCCTGCCTCTGCCTCCCAAGTAGCTGGGACTACAGGCGCCCGCCACAACACCCGGCTATTTTTTGGTTACAGCCATCATTGTTGTTTGGCAGGTCCGGGCTGGGGATTCGAACCCGCCACCTTAGGTGTACGTGGCTGGCGCCTTAGCCGGTTGAGCTATAGGCGCCGAGCCTGAACAGGGGTTTATAGGTTATAGGTAGGTTTAAATGTTTATTGATTTGTAATTGGTTAAAGAATTGAAGTTTTGCCTAAATTTAGGGCTTGGAATATTTTAAGCTAAGTCAGTTAAAGACAAGCTCCTGGACATATACTGAGACTTAGTGATCTGCAGGGCCTGAATTAATCCTGTTCCTGGAAATGGGCCCTTAAAATCCTACATGCCTCCTTTTTCTCAGTAGGTCCTGGGTCTATGTGGAGGACGTTTGTAGTTTTTTCAGGAAGGGGTTTGTAGTTTTTGCATATAGGACCTGCAGGATTGAATAATTTTTTTTTTTGTAGAGACAGAGTCTCACTTTATTGCCCTCAGTAGAGTGCTGTGGCGTCACACAGCTCACAGCAACCTCCAACTCCTGGGCTTAGGCCATTCTCTTGCCTCAACCTCCTAAGTAGCTGGGACTATAGGCGCCCACCACGATGCCTGGCTATTTTTTTGTTGCAGTTTGGTCGGGGCTGGATTTGAACCTGCCACCTTTGGTATGTGGGGCTGGCGCCCTACCAACTGAGCCACAGGCACTACCCGAATTGAATAATGTTTATTATTTATTTATTTATTTATTATTTATCTTGAGACAGAGTCTTACTATGTTACCCTGGGTAGAGTGCTTTGGCGTCACAGCTGACAGCAACCTCAAACTCTTGGGCGTAAGCAATTCTCTTGTCTCAGCCTCCCAAGTGGCTGGGACTACAGGCGTCTGCTACAGTGCCTGGCTATTTTTTTGTTGTAGTTGTTATTGTTGTTGTGCTGGCCCAGGCTGGGGTTGAACCCACCATCCTTGGTGTATGTGTCTGGTGCCATAACCACTGTGCTATGGGTGCCAAGCCAGGATTGAATAATTTTTAAATCCTCAAGATATGGGGTAAACTCAGCTATTTGATATTTGTCTTGACTCTGGGAAAAAAAGGAAAAAGAATCAGTTATGTTTTAGATAAGTCATCAAAAATATTTTAGTCCTTGGGTGATGCCTGTGGCTCAAGGACTAGGGTGCTGGCCCCATATACCAGAGGTGGTGAGTTCAAACCCGGCCCTGGCCAAAAACTGCAAAAAAAAAAAAAAAA